AGTAGTGGGATCAACCTTATTTTGTTGCACACCCTGGTTACCTGTGGCATCATTCTTCCTCCACACTTGTTTCACTTTCGACACTTTACCTCTAGTTTGTTGTACAGGAGGTCGCTGGGCTTTCACTTCACTACAGGAGTGCCCTACTTGCAAGCATTTTCCACAGAATTCTGGCTCCCATTCATAAGCAATTTCTTGCTCCAATTGATTCCCTTTTGGATCAAGCACCAGTATACATTTAAGCAATTCCTTTGTGATATCCATCTCTATAAGGACCTTGGCATATGGTATGCGAGTAGTATTTGTAGTGCAATCATCAGCATACAATGGCGTACCCAACCCACTACTAATTTTACTTAAGGATCTTTTGTTCCAGCACTATATTGGCAGGTTAGGAAACTTTACCCACAGCGGAATCGTCTTTAGAACTTCATTCTTAAAATTAAAATCAGTAGCCCAATGCTTCATTATCACAGGCCTATTGTTGATCATATTAGGTCCAGATAATAGTACCTCATCTGTCTCCTCTATGTTATTGAATCTGATCGCAAAATAGTCCTCATTATGGTAGAAGATTTGAGCCTTTGTAGTGAATTTCCAATGTGCCTTCAGAAACCTTTCAACAGCCCCTATCATAGGAGAGTACCCAATCACATAGAGGATAATTGATTGCTTCCATTTCACCGTTCCCTCATCAATGTCTTCCTGCTCTAATTGCACAATTTTCTTCACCTCTTGTATAATTCGAGCTATGTACTCGAGATTCATCCCTTTAGCTGCTAGCTTATTACCCGTTACAACATTTTCCCAGAATATCACTTGTGCTTTCTCCCCTTACCCTTTTGGCGAGGTTGCTTTGGTATGAACCCCTAGGGAATCATCTCCATTTTGCTGCTTACCCGCTTCATCACCTATCCCTCTAATCCCATTAAATGTTGAATTATTATGATTCCCTAGTGCTGGTGTCGCCCCTACGGTACTGGTGGGGGGTAACAGATGTTTGAACCATCACTTTGTTCAATTGCCCCTCAATTAGTTCCTTAGGACTGCTTATCACCTCTGTTGTTGCTGAGCTACTCCCTAATTCATCAATTCCCTTCCCCGCCGGTGTAGCCATTGTTACCCTGTTTGAATTACCTCCACTCGTCGGTGTTCCAGCAGATTTGATACCTAAATTGGGGTCCTCTTTTGGTGATTTCCCCATCCCCGATTCTTTGTTAAGCTCCTCCGGTAGTTTTAGGTCAGTCAATAGTACCCTGTTGATGTGTTTCTGTGGTCTTCCCCGCCCCATTCCGGCAAAAGCGCATGTTAAGAGACTCACCCTAACTTGCGCCGAGAGAGAATAGAGAGAGAATTATTACTACTGCAACTTTACAAATTTACATGAGCACTTTTTATCCGCCCGATAGGGTGGGATGGTGGGGGAAAAAATCAAATATAACAAATTTGTCGGTGGTTTTTTCAAATCTTTTGTTTAATTATATATAAATTTTTGCTTAAAAGCAAGTGTATCAACCCTAACCTCAAGGATCATTACATAAGCAAAAAAGTACAACAACAATAACAAACTCAGTATAATCACACAAGTAGGGTCTGAGGAGGGTAATGTATAGCAGACCTTACCCCTATCTTATGAATGTAGAGAGTCTATCTCCGATAGATCATCGGCTCAAGGAATAATGAAAATATAAGAACAAACAAATAGCAACAACAAAGTAATAAGGTAATAGAAACGTATGCCACAACATGTAATAATAAAGAACTAGGAATAAGAAAAAACAAGAATAATATTACTGGTAAGCCTAGGAGAAACTCACGACTACTTGTCAACCTTCAATCCTAATTCTTGAACCCCACACCTTCCTATCAAGGGTCATGTCCTCGGTAAGCTAAAGCAGTGACATGTCCTACCTAATCATCTCACTCCAGTACTTTTTTGGCCTACCCCTAGCCTTCCTCATATCCTATATAGTAACCCTCTCACACCTCCTAATCAGGGCATCTATGTCTCTCATCTTCACATGCCCGAACCATCTCAACCTTGATTTCCGCAATTTATCCTTTATAGAGACCACTCCCACCACGTCCTTAATAACTTCCTTCATAATCTTATCTTTCCTAGTATGCCCACACATCTAGCTCAACATTCTCATTTCAACTATATTCATCTTCTGGATATGAGACTTCTTGGCGGGCTAACACTCAGCCCCGTACAATATAGTCGGTTTAACCACCATTCTGTAGAACTTGCCCTTAAGTCTTGGTGGCACATTCTTATTACACAAAACTCCAAAAGCAAGCCTCCATTTCATTAATCTCGCTCCAATACGACGATTAATTTCAACTAAAGTAGAATTGTAGTGGTTCTTAACGAAATGAAGTGCAAAATTACAAGTAATTAGATCTAAAGTACAACTCTAAATTAACAAACTAAGAGCTCGTTTGGACATAGGATTTTTTTTCTTTTTTTCTTTTTGAAAAATTTTCACTTTTTTCGAAATCAGTGTTTGACCATAAAAATTCCAATTTTCAGTTGAAGATGAAATTTGGAATTTTCGAAAATTTGAAAAATTCCAAAAAACTCTTTTTCAAAGTTTTCACTCAGATCATTCATAAAACTTCAAAAACAACCAAAAATTATATTCATGTCCAAACACAACTCCAATTTTCAAATACCATTTTCACTTGAAAAAAATTTTTACTTTTTTTTTTTGAAATTTTACAATTATTATGTCCAAACGCCCATTAAGTCACGGCTATACCGCCTCGCGATAGTGAACTTTGACCATGATTTAACAATGATTTTAGGATAGGAAGAATGGGGAAAACCCAGGAGATTGATAGAGATGAAGCAAAATTTCAACTTTATGGGTTTTGAATTATAGAATAAAAAATTTATACAAATAAATTAATATGTGTATATATTAATAAACTTTTAACACAATACACTATTTTACCAAAAGCCACTGGTTTGGCAGACCGAACCCGTATAAAATGTAAAGGAAGCATAATAAATTTTAACGTGTAATACTAAGTTCATTATTATTTTTACTAGATTATCAACTACAACATTTATGTAGAGATTTATTTATAATTACCTAATAAATATTATGATTCTGCAAAGAAGAAAAATATACTCCTAATATATTATTGATTTTATTTTATTTTCCATTTAGAGCGAAAAATTTGATTTTCTTCCCATCTTTTGCATAAAGTGAGGATTTTGACGAACATGCTTATTTTTTTTGCTTAAGAAGGGAAACAAAAATGTGCAGGGGCAATAACAATGCACGCTGATTTTCTGTTAACTGTCACGTGATATCTTCTGTACGTAGCAAATCAGCTAAAGGCCCAATCCCAAAAGTGAGACAAAGCAAATCCCGTCCCGAAAAAAGACAAAAAGAAACAGTAAATTACTGACTGACACTTAAATATTCCCATTTAATTCTCTTCACGCAAAAATGCAACAGAGAGTGGCAGTTTCGCAAATTTACTTACAACTGAGGGTTAACTTGATGTCTTTAGTACTCCGCTTTTATAATTTCTGTAAAGCACAAAACGTTTCAATGGAAAAGAAGGAGAAAATCTTGCTTTCAGTCACTCAATTATTGATAAATTTCGATTAGGGTCCTTTGATATCTAATTTAAGCATATTAAGCCTTTAATTATTTTGAATGTCCACTTTTGACTCCTTGCTTGTGAATTTACGCAAACTTAGTGGTTAAACTAATAACTAAACAATTCCTCCCTCCGTTTCAATTATGTGAACCTGTTTGACTGGGCACGACGTTTAAGAAAAAAATGAAGACTTTTGGAATTTGTGGTCCTAAACAAGTCCAAATGGGGCCCAGAGTATTTGTGTGGTTATAAAAGTTTTTCATTAAGGGTAGAGTTGTAAGTTTAAGCTAAATTGTTACCAAATTTAGAAAGGGTTCATTCTTTTTGAAACAGACCAAAAAGGAAATAGGTTCACATAAACTGGAACAGAGTGTCATAAATCCTAATATACCCAGTTCAATTAATATGATTTATTTTTTCATGTTGAGATGTTGAAAAAAATATCCGACATATTCAACTTTTAAGAAAATTAATGTCATCAAACTCTTGGCTTGGCAAGGTTATCGGAGAGGTTCCACGTAGTGGAGTGAAGAATTATCATGAGTTGTGACTAATGTTAATGGCAAGAATGCAATGAAAGACTAGTTCTGCACTGCAATATTTATATTAACTGGTAAAATGAAATAATATGAGAGTTTTTCAAACTAACAAACAAAGTACCAAAGTGCTCACAAGATTGACAGTGCAAGAATTCGCATATAGAAGATGTTTGAGGCCAGAGATAGCGGGGAGATTAATGATTTGAATTTTATTCTTAGAATCATGTGATACTGAGAAAGTGGTTATATGATGACTTTCGATTTTTATTACTTGGGACTTCTGTACAAGTTCAATTTTTAGTTGTATATATTACTGAGTTGGTAAATAAAATTTATGTTAGGTACGAAAAAAAGGTCATCAAACTATTCAAATTCTAATATTCGATCTGATATTTGCTCTATAAAACTATTAATCCTGTTATTATTTTATCTAATTCTGAGAGCACAGTATTTCTTCATGTGTTTCAATGTATATAACACCCTTTCCATGTTGAAAAGTTAAAAAATTCACATCATCATTTAAATTTCACTTTATATAATACATAATCAAATTAATAGCTTCGATTTCATATCAAATCAAAAACCCTTCTCATAAAAAATGAGGTGGAGGGACTATAAAAATTGGATCTAACATAACATAATTTCTATATAAAGGGATCAAATACATATTTTAAGTAACTTAACATGCCGAATGTGTTCAGTGGAGTATTATTGCAAAGAACAAAACAAAAATGCATCAATTACCAAAGGACTAAAACTGCAATTATCCAAAGAACACACAAAACGTTTCCGATTTTCCACTTCCTATAAATAGCCCAACAACCCAGCGGTGTTGCTCTACTTTTATCCAATTCATTTTGCATTTCTGCTTTCTCTCTCTAACTGTTCTTCTTCTTCTCCATTTCTCTTTCTTCTGTACGTCTCTTTTTCTCTCTCCTAGGGTTTGTAGCAATGGCGCAAGAAGAAGCACAGAACGGAGGAGCTGATCAGAAGGAAGCAACTAAGACCGCCGTCGCAGCGGTCACTTTCACGGCGGTGAAGCCACAGCTGTTCGTGGAGGCACCGAAGGCAAACGACGCCGTACAGTTCTACAAAGCTGCTTTCGGTGCTGAGGAAGTGACACGTGTCAACCAGAAAAGGAAGGCGGAGCAGGAGATACCACTCCTCTCCTCCGTTGAGCTCAAGCTTGGTTCCTCTTCCTTCCTTGTCTCTGACCTTCCTGACGATGACTCTTCTGCTCCGTACGTATTTCTATTTTTTTATTTATTTTTTGCGTATTTTTGCATGTTTTCGACTTGCTTTCTCATGTTCCTAAAAACCTTCCGATCTGTGATGTAAAAAGCTATTTATTGAGTTTCTTAAATGACATTTGGAAAAAAAATTTAGAAAATTAAATTATTGTAGATGTTTTGAAGAACAATAGGCGTGTTGAAATTTTTATGAGTGCTTTCCAGAAAGTTTGTTTGACAAAAAGTTATACTGTAACTAGTTTTTCTCTTGAAATTTTTTAAAAATGTTCTCGCAAGTAAAACGCCACTTCAGTGTTCTGTTGACTATTTGTATGAGTCATTATTAGGTGTATTCGTTCTGTGTTTTACGTTTTGTACCTGCTTTTATGATTTGAGAAGTGGCTAATCCGAGATACTTTTGTATGCTTTTGAATATGAGAAGTTTTTCTAAGCTTTAAATATTTTGAAGAAACACGAGGTTAAAGAAAAATTATTTAAATAATTTTTGTGGAAAAATAATCGAAAATTTTATATTCCTAATAGTTTCTCTTAAATAAAATGTCAACAAGTATTAAGATACAAACGCCATGTTAGCAATTCTATCAACTTGTGTTTTTGATGATGTAGAGGTGTATTTGCTGCGTGTTTTACGTTTTTAAGCTAAGTTTGTTTGTTGGGATGTTCCTGATGCGAGATGATATGTTGTATGCTTTTGGATACGAAAATTTATACTTTGCTGTAGATATTTTTGAAGATCCTTCAACATTCGTGGTAATTATTTTGAAAAGAACTTTGGAAATAATGTTTTGAGGAAAAAACGTTTAACAAATTTTTACAAAAAATGTCTTGCGATCTGTCTACTTGTGTATTTACTGACCAATATTCAGGTGTATTTGCTCTTTGTATAATATTTTATGTGTTTACACACTACATAAAATTACTTTAAATTAAGTCACCATTTTATATAATATTGATTGTTTTCAAGCAATTTTCAATTTGCTCTCTGGTCAGTGTCAAGGCTGCTACTACTGGATGTGTTTTCTGCTTGGAGACTGAGGATGTGGAAGCTGCTGTAGCCAAAGCTGTCTCTGCTGGCGCTGTTTCTGAGGGCGAAATAGCCGAAGGTGATGGTGCTGCTTATTGCGGTGGGCGTGTGGGAAAGTTGAAGGATCCTTATGGAAATATCTGGATGATTTGCTCTCCTGTGAAAAAAGCCGAGTAAATGCAATGCCCCAAAGTCCTTAAATCGGTCTCTTTTGCCACTTACGCTGCTGCTTAGTCTTGTTCAGTACTACTTTTGCTTTATGTCTTTAATGAAATCCGGTTTTCTAGGAGAAACTTTGATATAACTCTAGCTAGGTGTTAATGGAGGGGTTCAGTTTGACAGTTTGGTAAATTGTTGATTTTGAACATTGAACTTTTATTTGTAGTTTATCTGACATCTTCCTTCTAGTAGATGATTTCTGCTTGTTACTGATTAATTACAGTATTATTGTTGGATGCTTGCTCTGTTTTGTCTATTCAAAATGTCCCATTGCCTCGTTAGCCATAAATTAGGCCTCTTGAAACTTGAGAAAGCTAAGCAATGATAATTTATCATACTTCGATAACTTTTTTTTTTTGTTTCTTCTGGCTATAACATTCTCTTTAAAGAACCCGCATGGATTGAAAATATTTTAGTATGATTTGAACATATTTTAAGATTTTCTTATAAATTTTGTAGCCTTTGTTCAAGTGGAAATTATGTTCAAATGCAATTCGAAGACATTCTTTACATTTTCAACGAAATATGTCTATGCACATTGTTTTGCTTGTACTATTGAAACTTAGTGGGCGGTTGGACATAAGAATTGTAAAACTTCAAAAAAAGGGTGAATTTTTTTTCTTCAAGTGAATGGTATTTGAATTTGAGTTGTGTTTGGACATGAATATAATTTTGGGTTGTTTCTTATTTTGTGAGTGATTTGAGTGAAAATTTTGATAAATAGGTTTTTAAAGTTTTTCAAATTTTCGAAAATTTTCAAAATGTAATCTTAAGTGAAAATTTGAAATTTTATGAACAAATACTGATTTTGGTAAAAAAGTGAAAATTTTTTGGAAAAAGGAAAAATTTCTTATGTAACGGGCTCTTAATCAATCGAGACTCAGAACGAATGAGAAAGCACCTTGGGAAGTGTGTTATTGGTAAAGTGAAAAAGGGGTTTATGGTTGAAGGTAGTTCAACAACGTTAAATTGCTTCTTCAGGGAGAAGAGTGAGTGACGAATAGATTCTTTAATTTTTCTAGTGGGACAGCTATATCGACGTGTCCATAATAGTACGAATAAAAGGCCTTTTTAACAGACTTTACGGGGATAGTTACGGGTCAAAAAATATAAATTTGGAGTAAACAAAAGGAAAGAAATACTTAAGAATTTGGACGCTACTCGCTAGCAATTTCTGGTTCAATTTCGTGTGAATCTATAGTTTTTTTGGGGATTCGTTATAAAACTAAATTTATTTGTAATTTGTCCACAACTAATTGACACGCCTAAAGCTATGCTCCTTTAGTTAGACATAACTTTATACATCAAAAATATTTTACACTATAAAGTCAATTATATGTTAAATTGACATGTTCTTTCTTGCCATATGTTAAACTGTATTGATTTTACACTATAGGTCGAGCATTAGGGTTGTAGGTTAGGAAGTAGTCGAGCTTTTTCTACTTCATATCGCGGGTGGGGTGGGTTTGATAAGGTTGATCTTAGACGACTTGTGGTTAATATAGAGTCCACACTATCCTTTCTGTTTTTCATAGCTTCGGGCTTTAATTGCTGGTTATTGTTATTGCATGTCATCTATTTTATGATTTTTATGATGCTGTTACTATCTTTATGGTTTCTGTTGACGATACTGATCAATTGTCTCTTCTTGTTTTATTTCTGTCTTCCTGATCCGAGGGTTTATCGGAAACAGCCTCTCTGCCCCGTCGGGATAGGGATAAGATCTGCGTACACATTATCCTCTCCAGACCACATTTTGTGGGATTTTACCGAATCGTTGATGTTGTTAAACTGTATTGATTGTGTGAAGTTTATTAGTGAGTATAAAATAAATTGTGTCCGCCATGGTGTTTGAGTCACCAAATTCAGTCGTCATATATGTAGACAGTCGAAATGAGCATTCTGGGCTGGATGATTAGATATCTAAGTAAAGTAAGTGGAAATTCGCGTTTATATTAATCCAATAAATGGCTCTGAAAGCACCATTTATTGGATTAACAAAAAATCTTTATTTTTTTATTCACATGGAAAGGAAAAAATAAAAAAATCCCAACATAAAGTGGTAGTAAAGCTTTGAAAATGGCTCTGAAGTGCACCTTAAGCAGGGTTAGCTAACATATGCACACAACCATGGCTCGATGGAAATCACAGATCACTGCAGCGCCTAAAGTACCGGAGACGGAAGGAGAAAGTAGACTGGTAACACCGGAATGTGGAGTACCTCAAGAATTAGGGCAAATTCAATTGGTCCAATGAATGACCGGAAATGGGAAGTGCCCCTACGATGATGCAAGCTTCAAAATGTACTAAAATGGAAGTCCCTATGCTAGTGGAAGTAGATGCAAATACAGCGGCAAGGAAAATGAATTTCTCAACGCAGAAACTAAACCTTAGCCAGTCAGTGCCAATGATAGGTGATGTAGTGCAGGGGAATCGATCTCAATAACAAGGGCTTAAATTGGAGTACTATCCGCCGATAATGAAGGAAGGGATAAAGGTTGTTAGATTGAAATAAAATTGAAATGGATGAACAAACTCAGAAATGGAAGGCTACTCTAATTGGGTATGTTCTTGGTGGCTCACCCTCATTCAAAGAAATGCTTAAGTTCGTGTATGGTGTGTGAATTCAGTCACTACTCCGCAGATATACCTACACGACGAGGGCAATTTCATTTTCCGATTAAACTCAGAGAAAGACAGGAACAAAATTATCCAACAAGTGCCCTATACGTTTCAAAATAGACCTATGATCCTAAAACAGTGGGAGCTTGACTTTCAATTGAGCAAGGAAATGACTAGAACTATTCCTATTTGGGTAATTTTCCCAAGATTACCAATTCAATACTGGACAAAGGAGAATTGGGTCGAATTTCTAGTTACCTAGGAAAACCTATTTGTTCAAATAAGCTAACAGCTCAGTGTGATAGAATTTCCTATCCACGGATGCTAGTAGAAATGGATATCTCACAGGTGCTGCCTGATAAGATGCTGATCGAAGAGGCAGGTGGAAAATGCAGAGAACAAAATCTGGAATATGAACGAAAACCAGCATATTTTGAAGAATGCCTACAGATAGGGCTACATACAGAGGAATGCACAAAGATACAAGTAGCCCAGGGGCAGGCCAAATCCGTCACTCAAGAAACCAGATGCCACCCAAATAACAACAAGTGAAAGCAACAAGACAGCAGAAAAGGAAACAACCAACAACCCAGTGGAGAGTGAAGTCTGTGACTGAGCAATCACAGATACAACAGGAGGCTATACCTGAACAATCCTCTAAGAATCGCGAGGAAAAAATAGCAGCAGTACCTTCTCAACAAAGGGATAAAGGGAAGTAGATGATGAAGACTCAAGGACATCTACGATAAAAGGGAGCCTTATCAGATGCAAACTTAGAAAATTTGTTGAGAAGAAATAGATACAGTCCTTTAAGCATTCAAGATGATAGCAACACTGACAAGGTGACTGAAGGGGTTGGCCTCAATGAGGAAAATCCCCCATGATAATAAGCTCATGGAACATAAGAGAGCTGAACAAGCCCTTCAAGCAGAAAGAACTCAAGGCATTTCTGCTGAAAAATAATATCACTCTAGTGGGCTGCCTTGAGACAAAAGATAAAGCCTAGGAGTGTTGAAAGAGTTCGAGCTAAATTTAGCAAAGATTGGAAGGTGTGCTCTGATGATGCTATCAATGAGAGGGGAAGGATCTGGGTATTGTGGAAAGAGCAAATGGTGCAGGTTCATATAGTGATTGCTAGTGATCAACTGGTACATTGCAACGTAAAAGATAAAAGTTCACAATTTACTTGCGACATAACATTTGTATATGGGAAGAATACTATAGCTGAAAGAAGGGACCAATGGGAACAAATAAGACAAATACATAATAATATGCAAGACCCCTGGTTGGTTATAGGAGACTTCAATAATGTATTATCTGTTGCGATCGAATCGATGGGCAACCTGTGCAACAAGCTGAATTGATGGATTTTCAAAGATGTATAGCTGATACTGTTTTGGGACAACTCAACAGGAAGGGTTGCCAATGGTCTTGGTGTAATAAGAGGGAGGCATAACATAGAATTTTTAGCAACATTGACTGGGCTTTTGGTAATGCCTCCCGGCTTACACGTTATAGCAGTCTTGAAGCTATATTTGAAAAGTCTGGAGTATCAAACCACTCTCCTATTATCATTAACATAGAAGTAGTCAAGTCCTATCTGCCAAAACCATTTAGACTCTACAATGTGCTACTGAATAATAAGAAATTTGAGAAAGATGTGCACGATGTGTGGTGTCAACAAATATAGGGGTATACTATGTACTCATACAGAGACTAAAAGACAAGGCAGGGCAGCTGAATAAAGAGGTATCTTCATTAGAGATGAAACTTGACAATTTGAGGGTACAATTGTAGATTGCTAAAGGGAAACTTGATGTGGATCCATTTAATAGTTAGCTGATCTCAGAAGATTAAGAGTTGCTGTTGAAAATAGAAAAATGGGAAGGAATTAATGAGCAAGTGATGCGATAGAGATCTAAAGCAATGTGGATAAAAGTTGGAGACCAAAATACTAAATTCTTTCATGCGCATCTAAAGGCTAGGCAGGCTAAGAACAGAATTGGTTCCATCTATAATGATCAAGGATCCAGAATCACTAAGCCAAAACTGATAGAGCAAGAATTTATAGGATTCTTCCAATCTTTATTGGGAACATATGCTGCTGAATTGCCATGTATTGATATCGATACCGCTAGGAATGGACCTTGTCTCACCAATGAACAACAACGAGAGCTCAATAGGCCAATAACAGAAAAGGATAGAGATCATTCCCTCAAAGAATTGCCTAATGAAAAAGCACCAGGTATAAATGGATTCCCGGCTGAATTCTTTAAAACATACTGGGGTCTTATTGGAGGTGAAGTCAAACACGTTATACATGAATTCTTTGCAGATGGGAAAATGTTGAGGACTATTAACTGTACCACAGTTACACTGGTTCCCAAAGTTAACAGTCCTACATCTGTTAAGGAATTTAGACCCATAACATGCTGCTCTAAAATTTATAAGCTTATGACAAAGATCATAATGGAAAAATTAATGACTGTGGTTGACTACATTGTTGGGCCTTCTCAATCAGCATTTACAGAATGGAGGAAAATATTGGACAATGTTATTATTGCACATGAGTTGGTTAAAGGATATGCTCAGAAAGGGGTCTCACCAAGATGTT